TCACCCACAGCCCAAACCTCAACAAGAACTTTAGCAAAACCAGGCCGGCCCCAAGCTTTTTCACACATTGAAGCAGTGCACGAATCCATTTGCTTTGGAATACCCAGAACACTCGCAATACGACTAACTCCTTCTTTATTGAACGCAACTAAAGGAATATTATGGAGTTTCACCCATAATGGACAGGAGGAATGTTCCGGTTTTTTTAATCTCTTGGACGGATCCCAACGATGGACAAATAAAGGAATACCTCTGATCATCAACGGGCCAGCCTCAATCACTTGATCACATCCACCAACGTCATTAAATTTAAAGAAAAAAATACCATTCTCATTAAGAATCGCATCGAAAAATGCAAATTTACCCCACGCCAAGTTAACATAATTTTTCACAATGGGGAATGGTATACGTGGGCCCAAGAAATATCCGTACAAGACAGAATTATAAGCTTTCGCAGCATCCTTGGCCATTTCAATCGGAATCTTCACATTAACTTGTTTTTATCAGCAAGTGGGTAGAAGTCCAGACTGTTAGACTCAGTCCGACCAACCGCTTTAGCATAGCTAAGGTTTGCATGCCCCACACTATCCAAACCATTAGCCCCTATCCCGTCCGGAGAGTGTTCTACAGAAGAGAGTCTAGAAAAAACCGAGACCCGATTAGGGTCGGAGAGAGGGTTTTCATCAATTGATCCCATATCACTGGCTAAGAAGTCGTGGTGCCGAAGTTTCCTTAAAGTATTCAAAGAAGTTAGACGAAGACCCCAAGAGGTGCTGAATAACAACCTAGGATACTCTTTGAAAACAACGAAGACCACAGAAACAYTAAACMAGTAAAAGGAAACCAGAAAATAAACCTAAACCCACCGAACACCACCTTAAAAACAAACCAAAGGAAGCGTAATTAATCCACAAAAACCAAAGAGCAAACCTCCTAAAAGATCCCGAACAGCACCAAGGTTAACCGTCCAAAACAAACAGCCAGCAGCGGTCACCCCAGTCGAGATAAACAGCAGAAAAAAAACCAGCAGCAGCTAGAATTCAACGCAGTCAGAAAAGCAAAACTCAACGTTCAGATCAGCAAAGTACCACATAAAATCACAAACTTCCAGCCGCTAATGAAACCAGTCCAACCAGCAAATAAACCAGAAAACTGCAGCAACCAAACCCAACAGCAGACTCGCAGCCCCCCAATAAGCAGCAGGATGAGCTACCAGCAGAAGCAATCAGAAGCACCTACGAGCAGTAGGAAGACTAACAGCAGAAAACGATAGGCCAAACAACACAAAAAAAATCTATAAAGCAGCAACCAAACCACCAACACCAGCCAGAAAAGCAGCAATCAACGAACCAAACCAGACCACAAACTCAAAATTAATGGACAGCAACGAGCAGGGATCTTTACATAAAATCACACGGTCAACAGAAAATTCAATGCAGTAGAACGTATTATGAATCATGCACTAGCAGAACAAAACCAGAATAAACAGCAGCACGAACAAGTCTTAGGGAACACAAACCCCGAAAAACCACCAAACAGCAACTGTCTAAGACAAGGGTGCCTTAGAAAACAGGCCGTAAAACCCAACAAGAACCAAACCCTAGCCGGTCACGAACCCAAGCCGTACACGAACTGGGCGTGAAAATAGAACACAGCAACCCTAGACAGCCGTCAAGGAGAACAAAAGATCCAGACCAAAACCAACCAGCGATCAAGATCTAAAGAAGAGTGGCAAAAGACAGAAAACACGACAGAAACCCTAGCCGTATAAACCCTAGCCACACAATTATTCAAACAAACCACAAAATCCAATGAATGACAGGATTACCTCGACTAAGAACAGCCCAGTAGCCAAGAGAACAGCAAACCTTCACTTACGAGAACGAGAAGCCACAGTAACCCGCGAAAACCCTAGTCGTATCAACCACAACCAAAGCGAATACAACCAAAACCTTATTCCAACTTCTTAGGAACATGCAGCGAACACAGAAAGCAAGAACAAGAATCCTAGCCGATCCAAACCTTCATCGCCCTAAACGCATTCCTAGAGAGAAAATGTCAAACGAGGTCAAACCTGTAAACTAAGCACATCATACCCATTAAGTTT